GTGTGTGTGTGTGTGTGTGTGTGTGTGTGTGTGTGTGTGTGTGTTGCCTCCACAATAAGTTGACCTCATTCGTCTTGTTGATTCTAATCTGTCATGTGTGAGAGCACAACAAAGGATACAATCATGGTTATTCAGAGCGAGCGCTGAGAAAAAAAAACGCGCGCTCAAAACCTTTTCACCTTTCAGAGAATTCATCCGAAGACTGAGAGAAACGTTTCCACCTTGTTTTTACCTGAGGTTTTTTTTTATTTTTATTTTTTATTATCAACACGATGTCCTGTTTTAAACACATGTTGTGTTGGAGACACTGTGTGTCCAAATCTGATTTAACTGCTTCAGCAGGAACTCAGACACATTTCACAGTAAAAACTTGTTCTCTGTCTATAAAGTGAACAGATCAACTCCATAAAATATGAACACAATTTTTCACTTAGTAAGTCACTAATTTAATTAATTGTTTTTAATAAAAGTGATATTCTTGTTAATAAAAGATGATATTTGTTTAATAAAATAAGACGCTCTGATAAACGGTGGATTCAAAGGATTTTTATGATGAGGCAGATTGAAACTGTCAGGCTGGGGCACGGATTGCATCCGAGCCGAACTGAACCGAGCCGAAACGAGCCGAGCCGAGCCGAGCCGGGAGCTCCACATGTTGCTCAGAGGAGAAAATAAAAACTAAAGGAAAGAAACACTGACTGCTCGGTTTGTTTTATTATCAAAAGCTATAGCCATCTGTTCAACTTAAAGCGAAATTTCAATAAATAAATAAATAAATAAATAAATAAATAATGATTAGGTTATAATGACAGGTTTTATTGCACGACGTTGCAGTGGCAAAAATAATAATAATTGCAAATAACACGAGCTACTAATAAAACCCCTCTCCATTCTGCTCATCGCAACAACATTTCTTCTGTTTATTTGTTTACGGTAGAAAAGTTTGTTTACAATTTTCTTGCCTTCCGAACTCGCGCGCTTATCTTGCGGGGGTTGTTTCCAAAAACAAGATGTGAGAGTAACACATGTCAGGGGCAACAGCAGGTCAGCTGTTTATTTATTTATTTATTTATTTATTTATTTATTTATTTATTTATTTATTTATTTATTTATTTATTTATTTATTTATATAATATAATATAATAATCTAGAAAGTATAAAACTACACATGGTGAACTCTGGTGACCTTTTGAACTGGAGTTTGCAGCTCTGTATGAGGAGTTTGTTGTCTTCAGTCACGGGGGCAGGATGTGTAAAAAGCAATAACAATTTTTCAAAAAGAGTTAATATTTGATGTTTGTTAGAAATGTCAGAGTATAGGTGAAGTTTAGTCAGAGCAACGTGGTTTTTATTTTTTAAGCTTGAAGTTGAACGAAAATTAGTTTTTGATTTCCTGAAGAGTCACATGAACACAACGCGTTGGGAGTTTTAAAGACAACTGCTTCTTGGTTTTATATGGTTTTTATTTTTTTCTTTTTCTTTTTTATTTTTGCGTCTTTGCTGCCCTGTTTACCTTCATGTGATGTAAACAACATGTTTAAATGTTTGTTATTCAAAAACTGTGTTTTAACTAAACCAGCGGTTTTGTGTGTCCGACAATGGAGACAGATTCTGTAAAAAATAAAAACCCACCGCTTTAAAGGCGCGTGCAACACTGATGCTGCGGTGTGTGTGTGTGTGTGTGTGTGTGTGTGTGTGTGTGTGTGTGTGTGTG